GTCACTGAGGCCACGGAGAGCAAACTGAAGCAGACTAAAGCAAAGATTTCTGAGAAAGACGCTAAAAATTACACAGGTTGCCCAGTGACAGCAGATATATATATATATATATATATATATGATGACTGTGCTACTGTGTGTGGTGTCATATTTTCCAGAACTGCAATTTTATCGATCAATTTCTAACATATATTCTCTGACAAAAATGCTTTAATTGACTGCTGTTTTTATATTTTAAAACAACTTAAAACGTCATTGTAAGAATAAAAAAGATATGCAGCTGCTATTCATGCCTTAATTGACATTTTTATTATGCACTTTTTTTTTGCAATATTTCATCTATAAATCATTCATGGGGTTTTAATGGTTTCTTTTCTCTCTTTCTTTAAATCTCACTTTCTGATTGCACAATATGTTCCTTGATATGTCCTGACCTTGTTAATGGTGTTTTACTGGAAAGCCATGGGATTAAGCACTGATTATTTGCATCCACGTTCATGTTCTGTCATGTCTTGCATACTTCAGTTCATATACCTGCAGAAACTGCATTCTACCAGTTTTCATTTCGACACAATTTCAGGCTATTTCTTGTACGATGCCGCTGCATTGCAGGATATTGTGTGAAACAGGAATAGTGTTCAATAAACAGACAACACTGTGAAGATCACAGGCTTACGGCAGAGCTCGGAGTGTCTGAAAGAGCAGTTTCCCAGACGGTGGCTTGTTAGAAGGTTTTTTCCGGTGATAGTTTGGTACACGGATTGTTTTGTGTTGTCTGGACAGGGGCCTTTGAGTTCAGTATTGTTTACCCTCCCTTCAGATCACAGCTGGGCAGAAAATCTTAAAAAGAAATCACCTGTTTGTGGACAGAAACACACAGACCAGACTTCAATATCATTAACCTTTTTTTGTGTGGACACAACAGAGATTCCTTTTATACATTTTAGATACATTTTAAATAAGTGAAAAGGCCTTTACATTTTTCCACATGGGATAAATAAATAAAATTATTAAAGGGTTAAAGGATTAAGGAATAACATTTTTTGATCTTCTGAGATACAATGGTTCATTTTGCTATGAAAACATACAGTACTGGGTGCCCGGCCCGCTGATAGCACTGTTTATTAGTTTGTGGATTGTTTTTGTGGCCGATCCTCTCTAAAGGAGTTATCCAAATCATGTAATGTTGCAAGATTAGTTTTGAACACAATTTGCATCCTGCAATTCCTGATCTTGCAGACCTATTCTGAGTGCTGAGCTGTGGGAGATGCAGCAGACCACTGTGATGTTTTACTTTAAAGGTGCAGTAAGCGATTTCTGAGAAACACTGTTGATATTTGAAATCAACCCAAACAAACTCACGACCAATTCGTACGAATTCGTACGAGTGACATATTTTACGAATTGGCGAATTCGTAAAATATGTACAATTTTGCAAAAATCGTACTAATTCGTACAAGTGAGGTCGTATAAATTGTTACGAATTAGCATCCTCGTAAAATTCGTATAAATTCCCGTGAAAAACACACACACACACACACTTCACTTTGCTCCACCCCCAAAATGCGCGAACACACAATGCAAGAGTGGATGTATTTTTATCATTGCTGAGTCAAAGCAAAATAATGCTTTGCAAAAAATAAAGCGATAATGATGAACGAACAGCAAGAAAAAACAAAAACTGATACAGTATATATACACACATGGGTTTCCTGTTTACAAACATTACAGGGTTCGTGGGTATACCAGAGGCAGAAAGCAGAGATTGGTGAGCTGGTCCACTACTGCAACAACCTTAAGTAGCCTATTGAAGCTTTCCTTATTGTTTCTATTTAACTGGTGACTCAATAAAACGTCTCTCCAACGCTGAAAGCTTTTCTTATATTTCCGCAGATATTAAAGTTCTTGATCACTACCCTTCTAATTCCAATGATAGTCCTCTGACCTTTTCTCTTTTGTAATGTCTTTCAGCCATCTTTCTACAGTCTTTCTTCCAATCTCCCTCTTGCTCACTCTCTCTCCCCCATCATGCATGGACATGCCCCTTACTGTTTATTGGTTCACTCTCTCTCTTCCCCCCATCATGAGTGGACACACCCCCTGATTGGCTACAAGCGTGTTTTGGTGCTCAGTCCGATCCTCTTTCAATCGCTCACTAAACCTATTCTGCTGTGGTTCTTGAAAATGTACAGATGCATCTCTAAAAAGCATCCAAATTCTTGCTTTAATAATTAATATTAAATTATTATTATTATAGTATTCATTTATATTTGTATATAATATATATATATATATTTTATTATTTTTGGGTTTTTTTTTTGTTTTTTTTTTGCATTTTGCACCATTTCCTAAAACAAATAACCAAACTAAAACTAAAAACTAGATGATGATATGTTTGAAAACATATGTGAAGCCCATGGGACAGTATGAATGAAATTGCATTAGATGCTTGCATTAATAATGAATAGTTCATCCTATTAGATTGCTTTGATACATACCTTTAAATGACCCAAGAATACGGAATTTTCCATCTAAATAGATATCAGAATCTTTAAGTCTCTTGAAGCTTTGTTGGAGCATGTTCGACTTGCATGAGAAATCTATAAAATGCGGTTGGAGTTATAAAAGCAGACGAAAAAAAAAAATCACCTAGTAAGCAGTGTACTCATGCATCTTGCCCAACAATGTGATCCCTTCAGACAGGAAGTACAGACTCAAAGCGCCTTTCCTGGTCACCGCATTGAATAATTCAATAAATAAATGGAATATTAAATGGTGTGACCGGAAAAAGGTGACACCCTATTCCTTATTTTCCCACCACTATGACGGCCTGTCCCATACGATCCAGAATCTAGAGCTTCTCTCATGTGCGAGATTTAGTGTGCTCTCATTTCCCAAAAGCTCTTTAAACTTTCATTTCTTTTACATTTATACATTATACTACACCTTATTAGTTTGTTCTTTGGCTTATAAAGCCAATCCTGTTCACAAAAAAAAAAAAAAAAAAAAAAAAAAAAAAAATTCTTTATATATCTGTTGCGATATACTGTAATGGCCTTCAGTTTGGCATAATTCTTTGCATCTACATTGTAAAACATTTGTGCATTTACAATATATGATTGGCTTCTAGTACTTTTATAGTCATGCATGTTTAAAACATGTACAATGTTCAATTTTGAGAGCTAATGCAATGTCCTGTGCCATGTTTTTTTACAATAAGGATGTGGAAATTACAACATCTTAGTGCTTTTGTAATACATAATTCATTTTTACCACTAGTTGCAGTCAAAAATCCTTAATATGTAATGTCTTTCATAGTCAGAAACCTTGAAGAAAACATTTCCTTTTGTTTACTCATCGTTCTTCCTGTCCATATCTGCATCATCTGCTAATGACTATAAATGAACAGAGCACACACACACACACACTCCAGAAATCCAGGCTACCCCAGTTGACATTAGTGTCAATCTAAGCCTCCTAGAGATATTTTCCATGTCACCAATCTGAATCGAGTTTCTCCATCCTTTTTCTTAAACACAAATCTTGTATTGGACGTACGGAGCACGACAGTGCATTTGGTATTACAAAAGAACTCATTTCCTTTCCCTAACAAACTGGTATTTCTCATCTTGACATAATGGGAGTAAGTTCTACAGTCCTTTTAGGCTAGTAGCAAAAAAACGAATGACACTTTGATGTCAATCATTTTAAAAGCATTAAATGCTCCAGATATGCCTCAGCAGTTCATTGACAAGTGCACGCACCAGGTTTATTCTCGTGATTTTGATCGTTTTAGGTTGTGTGCTTGGTACAGGTGTGCCAATATGTGGCAAAGAGCTGCTTTGAATTACAATGAATGGGGTGAGTGTGTTTTTTTTAAAGGGTATTTAGCCTCTGCTTTTTGATTTCTTTGATCTTGCAGCAACAGGCTGTTTTACGCAAGTTGTAGCCATGACCCGCACTGGGATACAGCTCACCTCTAAAGACGTTTTTTGAATGGGAAGAATAGGAGTGTGTCTTCTTTTCATGAAAAGAACATGGAAGCATTGGGTTGTAGACTTGTTTTTTTTTTTTTTTTTTTTATAATATAAACGCTCTTAAATCGTAAAATATTTTTTTTATACACTATAGTTTTTGAATTATCTACAAATAATGTCTAACATGAATAAATCACAGGAGAATTGTGTCAAATATTTTGGCATTTGATATTTTAGTCATTTTTGGAATAATATGCATGGCTATTTATTATATTTGGCTAAGTATATTTCCATTGATGCATCCACACTAAAATATTGGTAATGCTAATAAAACTTTATTGGGTGCAAAATAGCTGGTTAAAAAATGACTTTAAATCCTTTTCAAACAATAAATACTGAAATGAGTCTTCATTCTGTGGTTATCATCAGTAATATGTAGGCTTGTATTTCTTTCTTATCATTAATTTTAAGATTTAAAACTTGGTCCTGGACAATGCAATCTCTATATCATTTATAAAAAAAAAAAACAAAAAAAAACAATGTACGTGTGCGCATGTGTGTGGCCCTGGTAAGGAATTACCAAATATTTGACCTTGTGGGGATATTTTTGTTCCCAAATTCCAATGGAAAAAAATAAAAGTATAAATATTGTACAGTATAAAAATCAATGTCTATGGAAAGTAACATGGAAACCCAATGTGTGTGTGTGTTGATAAAAAGTACAAAGTTTCCAAGACAGTTTTAATGTGACCTTCATATGACAAAAAAGGCTGAAATCAACCCTCCCCGAATATACATAAAAGTGCCTTAATTTGAATAAACATTGATAATAACTATATTATTTTATGTGAAGAGCTGAAGATGTCTTTATAGAATATTATTTAGCAGCTTTAGACAATTTTATGGCCTGACAAAATTCAGGCTGTATTTCTGTGTTTTATGTGTTATGGTGAGTCTTTCCAGTGTTTCCAATGTTTATTTAAAGAACTTACAAATCCAAGTTACCCAAGGAACACAATGACCTTTGTCCATTCAATCTCGTTTTATTGAAAAAAGAAATAAAATAGCATGTACAATAATAATTACAATAATAATAATAATTATTATAATAAGAACAACAATAATATTTATCATAATATAAAAATCTGTACATTCCATTGTTTTCTTTCAGTACAATAGGGAAGACTGGTACAAAAGCAACTGCAAAAAGTACGGGGATATTTACAACAAAGAGAAATAAATGCTGCCCATAGACCCACAGTCGTTAAAAGGAGCGTTTTCTTCGAACGAGCCAACAGTAGACCAGTGTAAACTAGTTCGACTGCATAATTGGCTGTTCATCTTGAGTTTATTTTGAAATATGACGTCAAGAAAAGGAAAAGTTGCGATTTATACTCTTTTGTATGTTGAACACAGCCATATAACGTGCAGTAATTTCAAAATAAATATCCTATCATTTTATTGTCTCCTTTTATAGAGCTTTCCAGAGAACGTGCTCTAGTGGCTGTTTTGGGTTACTTCAGGTTTTTAAAAAGCGAAGGTGAGAGAAGACATCAAGTTAGACATCACAATCAAACGTCAAGTGATATCTCAGGAGCACATTTTGTGTGCAAGTGCGGTTCTGAGCTCAGATTCTGTGCTCTGATTGTCATTGGATCATAGTACCATGATCTCAGTCTAATTACCCAGTCCTACAGTTCTTGGTACACCTGCCAAACAAGTCATTAGGGTTGTATTGCAGTTTGTCAGGCAAGACGAGAGGTTAGAGTTGATTGAGAAATAATCAATTATTAGAGAGGTTTAAAGTCTGAAGGGAGAGTGGATTCTGTTTTCTGTCCCGTGTCTTTGCAATAAAACCCTAAACCCTAGAACCTCAAATCTGAAGGTTTTCAACTAGCAACATTTTCCAACCCAAACACTTACTGTATGTAGCACTAAACTAGAGTAACACTGAAGTTAAGGGATGAAAAGGTGGGAGTAGCGGTTTGAAAATAAGGTAAGCTAACCTGTAGCTGTCTTATTTTCAATGGGCTTTGCTATTCATAGTCTTTATTTGGCTTAGAATAAGAAAATAATTAAGAAAAATAAACCATATATGTGCGTAAGCAAACAGAAAAAACATTTATTTTCACTTACAAATATATATATTTTTACTCCACGTCATGACTTGTCCTATTGTCCTACGTCTAATAAAATAATTTGATGCATTCTTTTTGAAAGATCATTTTGAATACTCTTTGGTTTAAGTCTAAAACTCTATATAATATGCAACATAGCAGCACTTGTAGAAAGACATTCATTAACACGTTCACTCTCTTTGTCCCTGTGGACATGACGACTGTGATTCTCATTCTGATACTGATCTAAAGACCCTGTCCGTTATATATCGCAATAAACAGGCATGGTCCTGTGCGTTTTTTTGTTTCAGATAACCTGAAATGTACTGCGGAGGGCTTCCAACTTCATGTTTCTTCTAAAAAAAGATGAAGAACATTCACTGAGTTGTCTATTTTCCCAAATAGAGGTCCCCCACCTAAGCCCCCCGCAAGTCTGTTCCAGAAATACCCGTGGCTCACACAAAGCGGACTCAAATAGAAAAGGGAAAGAGGGGATAATGGAATAATTAACTAGATGGTAGGAACAGGACTTTTTAATGATACTTAAGACATTGACTAACACTCTTCGCTGTGTTTTTTTTCCCCTCATTTGTATAGTGTTATTTCAATGAACTAATTAAATTGACAGAACAAAATATCTGCTTGTAAATTTTCTATACCGACAAATAATGATATTATCAACTTTGGTAGCAGCATCAGTCCACTAAATTGGTCTGAACTGTTCTTACATTGTTGGACAACTGCACATGGACACATGCCTGCTCATTTTCAAGTTTTGCCAACCAGTTACAAACCTCTCTGCTTCATGTCATTCAGAAGCAACGGTCTAAAAAGGTAGTGTCGCCTAATTGGGAAACTCTCTCTTCTCCTCCCTTGATGTGCATTCTTCATTAGCTGTGCAGTGCCTCTATGCTGTGTTTTATTTAACCATGCATATTCGTAAGAACACACTTGTACAGTTTCTCTGTCGATCCCTCCTCGCAACTGTACCGTTCGAGTCTGCCTCGCCGAGGGGCTCAGTTCAGCTCAATGTGCCTGTATGAAGAGGTGTCTGTTAAACCTTCCCGTTAGATCTGCACAGTCATATTTCGGATTCCCGCCGTAGAGGCCGCGGTTCTAAGGGAACGGTGGCCTGGCTGTGGTCAGAGTCTGAGCTAGTGTCCGTGTTCGTCCCGCCAGGGCCCAGGCTGTCCCCGTTCCCTTCCTCTTTCTCGTCTTTGTTTGAAAGGGCCACCTCATTCTCATAGCAAAAAGAATTTGAGTTGGATAGGATATATTTTTTCTCAGCAAGGTCCCTCGCGCTGCACAACGGGGTGCTGGGGACTTCGTAGGTCTTGTGAAAGCGAGAGTAGTCTACTTTGTAATAGTTTTTCTCCTCAAAGAGGACGGGCTCAAAGCGGTGTCCCCACAGGACCTCGCTGGCCACGTAGGAGCTACGGCACTGGGTGGTCATGGCCGTGGCCTCCACCATGCCCTCCAGGATAACCACGATTTCAAAGTCCGAGTTCTCCAGTTCTTGTTTGCTCATGTCATAGAAAGGGCTGTCCTCGTCGATCTCATGGACGATGGTGATTGGTGACACCAAGAAGATGCGGTCAATGCCACTGTCAAAGCCCACGTCGATGTCCATCTGGTCCAGAGGGATGAACTCTCCCTCGGCCGTGGTGCGAGATCTGAGGAGCTGAGCCCGAACGTGGGCTTCTACCAGGTGGCTTTTGCGCAAGTTGCCCACCCTCCACATCAGACACAGCTTATTGTCCCTCATGGCCATCGTAGCATTGTGGCTGAACACCAGCGTCTCGTTCCTCTTCTTGGGCTTTGCCATCTTAGCCATGACAGCACCAATGATGAAGGCGTCGATGATGCAGCCGACTATGCTCTGAAACACAACCATGAACACCGCGATGGGACACTCGTCTGTAACATAGCGATAGCCATAGCCGATGGTGGTCTGCGTCTCGATGGAGAAGAGAAAGGCAGCCGTGAAGGTGCTGACGTTGGAGACGCATTTGGGACTGCCGTTCTCCAGGTCTCCGTGGAATATTGCGACCAGCCAGAAGATACATCCAAAAAATAGCCACGACAGCAGAAAAGCCAAGCAGAAGATAACGAACATCCACCGCCAACGAATGTCAACGCACGTGGTGAAGATGTCGGCCAGGTATCGCTGGCTCTTCTCGCTTACGTTGATGAACTGCACGTTGCAGTGTCCATCTTTCTTGACAAACCTGCTCTGGGTTTGGTGACGGGTGAGAACCTTGCTCTTCCCGTTACCGTACCCATTTGGCACCGCAGCAGTGGCCAACTTCATTCCGTCCTCCTCTGATGACACAATGCTGTAGCGGTTGGCCCGCACACTTCCCATCACCTCAGTCTGGGAGGTCTGTGCTGTTTCTGCTTTGGAAAACAGTCTTAGTTTCTGGAAAAAGCGTTGGAGAAACAGTTTTGAAACACTCACGGGGACCAACACAAGCAGGAAATGGTGGGGCTGTTCAGAGCCGGACGCAGGAGGCGTCTCTTTGCTCCAGTTGGACCTTTTGATTGACAGAAAGGGCCAAGGATGGGGCGATCACTCCGTTCGCATCTGCTCTGGTGATATCATCGATCAAATGTCCTACCAAAAACAGGAAACAAGATACACATTAATTGGCATGTTAATTGGCACAGACTGTAAACTCAGCATTCTCACTGAAAATTTGTTTCAGTCTCAGTTGCTAAATTAACATAATCACTAAAAATTGACTTTGGCTCTAAAAGCACACGTGTCTCTCAGACCAACGTGATACTGCACATACAGTAATTCTCACGCATTCTCATGCAAGTCTCAGCTTGAACTAATACGTTTCTACACTGATTAAATCATAATGTTAACATTTCCCAGTGAATTTAGTATCACATCAAATAATACTAACTTTGATACATGGTATGTGCTTAATCAAAAACTCATACTTTGAAACTTAAGAGGACCCTGACCATTCCTTTCAGGCTGAGAAAAAAAAAAACTCAGCAGTTTTAGCCAATAAGACCAAAATAGTCCAAATAACAGAACACAAGTCAGACTTTTCTAAATCATTAGCTCAGTGAGGCTGTGAAGTAAAGAGTAGAGGTTGTTTTTCCTGATTTTTTTTTATTACTGATCATCAGTTTTATTACCCAATGTCGACAAAGATTATTTTAACATGTGACTTTTTTTATAAATTTTTTTCATCATGTCATAATTTCAATCACCAACTGCACCAAAAACCTTTGTCAATTAATAATACATTTTTTAAAAACTTCATTTGTAATTTTAATCAATACAATGATATTTAACCAGGCAGTGCCCCACATTACTTGATGGCAATAGCAACCTGTCTGTTTACGTGCTCTCCTATAGTGTAATTGCCCACAGGACCATTAATAATACCCATTTTCACATACTGTGCTGATCAGGGTATGGTGAATGGAAAATTGCTTTGTTCAGTCATGTATGTCCTTACCAATGCACTAATTTAAATAGGCAAAAACTCATCTAGCCAATAGAGGCGTTCAGAAAGCTCTACTCAGAACAATTACAGTACCTTCAGTATTTAATAGGTTTCATATTTTTAGTATATTGAACAATAAGTGCTTTTAAAGACTGTCTTGCAGAATGTCATCACAAATACTCCATGTCAAAAGCTGAAACAGTTTATCTTTTGCATGAACAAACAGTGTCATATACAATAAGACCAGTTCCCTAAAGGATTATTGACATTTTAAGTGTTTTAAAAAGGGAAAGACTCATTTAGTCAGCGGTAAAATGCATGCATTCTGATCAAATGTATTCTTGTGCCCCACTTAATTCCTTTCTTAAAGTACGTAACATTCTGAACTATTGCTTAAACATCAGCGAAGGTAAAAACAAGCTTAGACTGGTTTTCAGTAGGGTGCAGAGCAGGGACTGGGACAAGGCTTGTTGACTTGAGAGCTTGTCTTGTGGGACCTCATCTTCTCTCTCAGTAGTATAATGACAGCCCTGTGACAATTCCCTGAGGAGGGATAAAACACTACTCATTAAAGCTCATATTCTGCCCTCAATGTTCCTAGCAACCAAAAAGAAAGGTCCTATTTTATCTTATTTAGCAGATGCCTGGCATGCAGAGAAAAGAGAGCGAGTAAAAGTGAATGACACAATCAATTTGAGAAAGAGCATGAGAATATATTTGTATGTAAAACTACTTAAATTACTTTAGTAGTGAACAAATGTTTGCCATCTAGATCAAAAGTAAGCAGTTTATTTATTTTGGTTTAACATTCTACTAAAGACCATTTTCACTTGTGGCCAGACAGACATTCAGATAAGGAGCAGGTTGATGGATGCCATTATTTCTTACATGAAACATAATATGACTGTGTTTATATCCAGGAAAGATGTTTATTTTGACGGCGTGGACCAGTGAGGACCAATGGAAAATGTTACATAAAAGTCTACATTCTTTTGAATGATCAAACTAGGATTAATATTTTTAAAACATGCATGCATATTTTATGGAAATTCCTTTTGCACTATTATCTCTGTTAACAGTTTACACTATGTGGTGTGCATGTTCTTGAAAAATAAGTTAAGCACTAATTTAGCTGCCAATTGAACGTATCTGAGTGTTCAAGGCAGAAAAGAGGATCTGCGTGTCTGTCGGCCGACTGACGCCTGACAACTGCTGAGCGCAGCTGTGCTCCAAATATATTAGACAAACGCACACTTAGCAACAGTGAGCTCAGTTTAAAACAATAATAGGCTATATAACAATTAGTCATATGTTTCATGCAGCAATGCACATAATGCAGCACTAAACCCCATATGTTTTATACGGCAAATTTTTTATCATGCGGATGAAGTCTGTTATATGGAGAAGTCAACAGGTGTGGGAGGAAAAGATATTCCCTAAACCTTATTCCTCAGTTTCCTTCTTTTTAAGGACTTCTTAAGAAGTGCTTCAAGTAATTAAGACAATTAAAATTCTGTGTCACTTGTATATTTGTCTTTAGATAAAATAAAAAGCAAATAGGCTAGTAATCACACTCTCATATCTTTCATTGTAGTGGCATGTGCCTGAAGGTCAGAAATTAACTTTAATTAATCCTCATCATCCCCTAAGAAAGATCAAGAATGAAAACAGTGTTTCTCCTAGACTGCAATAATATTAAACTGAGACTTTTTGATAAAGTCTTTTCTTTTATGCTTTTTCTGAGATCAGGTTTCCTATACAATTGTAACAAAGAGCTCAATAATGTTCACAAACTATTAGATTGTCTGTTTCAAAAAGTCAAATATAGGCTAACTGAGATCTCCGAGATCATTCTTCATTCAAATGCACAGCACAAAACACCTCGTATCGTCAAATAGACAACATTTATTAACAGTGTGCATACAATGACAAAACATTTCAGCAAATAATATGTATGACCTTACCATTTGTAAATGAACACGAAACAGTTCTCATATATACATATCCAACGAATGGTTTTTACTATCCACACACTGTCTTCTCATTGATATTGTTCTCTCCACGGAATATATTAATAGCATTTGATATGAAGCATAAGAACAGCAATCTCCACGTTTCTCTTCTTGTATATGCGGCGTGCGGTAACTCATGTGCTGTTTCTTCTAGGCTTCAAACCCATTTAAACAACACGCACCGGCTAGTCACGCCCCCTCTCCTAAAGCCGGCCAATCCGATGAGAGGGAGAGTTTCACGCGCGGATAAAAAACAACAGTTCTACTCAGACTAACAGAAATTGAAATAGAGAACAGCAGCGTGCGATTTAAGGCTTGAATCCCCTCCAAGGAAGCCCAAACAAAAGGATGCGGGTGTCTAAAAAGTATGTGTGCTTTGTCACAAGTATGTGTTTCAACCGTAGACTGTAAAAAAAGGTTTCAACATTGTTTTCAAACAGTACAACCACAGTAACGTTACAAGTTTTTTTTTCAGAATGCGCAATGTAGACGCTCATAAAAACAAGTCCAGTTTGTCTGAGGTAAGTTAACCATTAGGAATTCGATTACTACGACAAAACAAACGGTTATTAACTGTTTACAAGTCATAAATAAAATCGCAAGGTGATTTGAAACATGAGTTAGCAATGGAAGATATTTCCGCCACCCATAAAACATTTTAAAAGATAAATATGCGAATTTTATCTCTCAATTGCGATTATAAAAAATAGCAATTGTGAGTTATAATGTCAGAATTGCGAGATTTAAACTCACATTTTGGAAAAAAAAAAGTTTATTTTATAAATTATTTTATAAAATTTTCCCCTCGCAATTGCGAGTTTATATCTCACAATTCTGATTTTATAGCACCGACATTATATCTCGACTCTAACTGAATATCTGAAAGTCAGAATTGCAAGATGTATAGATTCGCAATTGCAAAGAAAAAAGTCAGAATTGTGACACAAAAAAGTTGCAGTTACCTTATTTATTTTTTATTCTGTGGCGAAAACAAGTGTCCATAGTTAACGACCCATGAGGACAAAAGAGACAAACATGTTTGGGCGGGAGAAAAATCCACACAGGTTTCGCTGTGGAAATGCCAGTAAAGTCCAGTAAACTGAAAACAATTGTGTAATTCCAAGATTGACTTCAGAGATTAAACTATGACATGTATCTTGTTTTGTGAGTTTATGAAACTTATTTTTACCAAAAAAAGAAAAAGAAAAAACATGTTAGAAACTGCACTTTAGATGTCACGTGTTGATAGTGAGATCAAATGCAATATGGATACCATTTATCGTTAAGCCAAATACTTCATAAAAAAAAATAATAACAACCACTAAATAAATTCAGTAAAAAACAATTTAACATGAAAGACTATTGTGGCCTTTTAGTCTATATTATAGCATTGACCAAAACTTTGAAGTCATGCAGTTTTGAAATGTGTTATTCTGGGATTTGCTATTATGAAATGTGATCAATAAATAGTATAAGTCTAAGATTCATAGTATGTATCCACAGCTTTACTCTTTGTTTTCCAGCATCTTATAAAATGAATGTAGGCCTATATTGTTGGGAGTCAGACTCTTGTGAAAGAGATTAATGATCATGTATTGTTTAATCAGATGAATGTTTCTCATTTCTTTATAAGTGTTCCAATGAAAGCCCAGCAGCAAGTGTTCTACAGGCCTTTGCCCTTCCTGGCTGCTGCGTGTCACACATTGCTTACTTGTGATAAGTAATGAGCCGTGTTAAACTTTTATTTGTGAAGCTGTTGCAAAGTGCTTATTTTAGTTACTTTCTTGTTCAAGTCTATAAATAATACAGACTATTTATAGGTGAAAAACGTGGTACATGAGCTGTCCGGCCTCTGTTTACCTTTCAGCCTAATTTAAGGCGATGCTTGGACAGCACTGCATCCAACCACAAGGTGGAGGGCTGGAGACTTCACTCTTTCAGGAAAACCTCCCAAAACCCAGCAATTTTATTCATTGTAGTAAGTAGACATATGTTTTTTGTTAATATCTCCGAGACCATACATGCCACTGTTCTAAGTCCTGGTCTGTCTTGAAGAGGACACCTTGAGCTTTTCTGTCATGCTAAAT